TGACTCATTGAAAGACAACATTTAAGCATTTATTCGACAGATACCGTCCGAAATGTGTAATATTCATCTGTCAGTAATTAAAAGAATCCTATAAAAATACCCCCTTCCCCTAAAAATATCGCCCACTCGATGGTAGGGGTACATCTCTGAAAGTCATATTTTTGGATATTTTTTAAATTAACCGTTATACCATTACTTAAAATATAAAAAAGCAATGATATGTTTTAAAAGGAGCTTTTCTATCTCGGATGCAAGCCCAAAAATCCATATTGCAAACAAATTGGGAGGTACAGTTATTTGGGGCCATTGTAAAACGTCAATCTATACAGGGTGATATAAAAAAAACTGCAACAAAGTCAAACGCAATAATTTTTACATTTTGTTTTTAAATTTTATTGAATGAATTAAAAAAATGTCAGAAATAGCATCAAATTTTATAATAAGTTTAGTCTTGTTCGAATTGGTCACCTTTGGCACGAATTATGGCCTGCAAACGGTCAATGAAACCGTCACACGTTGCCTAAATGTTGCTCTGCGATATTTTGGCTCATTCCCGGCGAAGAGCTTGCTTGAGATGATCGACACTTTTCAGAGCCAACCTTGCTTTGCAAAATGCTCCAGACACAATAGTCCAACGGATTGGTATCCGGAGATTTTGGTGACCATTGTGCGCTGGAAATGAAGCAAGGAACCTCATTTCGTAACTATTCTTGGGTGGCACGTGCTGAGTGCGATGGTGCTGTTATCTTGTCCTGTTGGAATGTCCAAGGTCTGCGGCTTTAATACACCCTCCAGAATATTTTCGCTATAATTTTCGGCATTAGTTCTGATGCCACGGTCGATTAATACGAGCGGAGAGCGACCATCGGCTGTTATGGCCATCATAACAGGCTGGCGCTTGAGTTCTGGTGGCCAACCGAAGGTGCACATTTTCAGCTGATCTCTTTGGCAAGTTAACACGATCATTTTGTTTGTTCACAAACTGCTGGGCAACAAATGTTTCCTCATCGGAGAAAACCAAATTTTTGGAATTTCAATGGTTCATGTGCTCATTTTTCAATATTTGCCGAATGGAATATTGCGATAAGTTCAGCAAACGAGCCATTTTCGGCCACTGCGACGCGGGTTTCGATCAGGTCGCTCCTTTACTTTTCTAAACATTTCTTCGGATGTTGCTGTTTTCTTCCGTCCACTTCCTTGACATCGAGCTACGCTACCAGTATTACAGTTATGAGCGATGCTACGATGCACAACAAATTTATTCACATTTAAATGCTAAAGATAGCCACTAGTGGTTTTCCAGTCAAAAATAAATAAATTACACTATCACGCTTGAATTCCATGAATATATTTTTTCTGGAAAATTCTCACCAAAATGGTTATCTTATATTTATCACCGGCAGACGTTTAAAAATTTAACACTGCCATCTATTGACGAGTAGACTAACAAAACATACTGCGCCGACTAGCAATACTAGCATAACGTTGATAATGCAGTGCTCAGATAATACTGCGTAGTCGGAAAATATGATTACCGACAATAATGTGACAAGCACTTCACTTACTGTAATGTGGGTGTTTCCATGGCAAAAGTGGAATGCAAAGAACGGAATAATCAAGGCTCATGCAACTATGCTTATTAATTCTAAAAGTTTATGAGTTCAAAATATTTAAATTTTTATTTTTCTATTTAAATAGAAAAACATATTAATCTTCAGTTACAGAATTAACTCTTATAAAAAATCGTTAAATTCGGCCAGACAGAACTTTGATATCCTCCAACCATTGGGGAATAAAAATTTTTGAAAATGATATGAAGTACAAAAAACAAGTTAAAGAGTATAAGTTGGTGTTGCCGACAGATCAGAAAATGTTCGATTTTTTAAATATATCTGGAGTAGGTTCCGAAGGAGTGGCCCAATATTGGCCATTTCGTATCGGGCCTAAATAAATGTGATATAATAAAAACGTGCTAAGTTTGGACTATTTCGACTACTTCCTTCACTTTATATGAGATATTTGATTATTTTTTGAAAATGTTGAAATGTGCGTGAGTTACAGTCGACCGAAGTATTCCATTTTCATACTTCATCTAATACAAATAAAAATATTGGCATGTGCAAATCACAAAAAAAAATCGACAATTTACCCTATTCTGTGCGAAAACATAAATTTCAATAAATTCCACATTCACACCAGCATTTGTAAAGAATCGCCGAAACGTTTCGCAAGTTATGACAGATATAAGTATTGAAAATTGTGACCCTTTGTGGTGAGGTACCAGAAGGGTTTGGCAGATATCTATCATCTTCACAAGAGATCTTGTATGAGCAAAACTATTTGTGTGTGTGAAATTTGAAGAGAATTTTTTGTTTTTCAAAATCTTGAACGCTGTGTTGGGGAGGTACCAGAATAAATGGTTCGATCTTTCTCATCCTCCTTGAGACGTTGAGTTGAGGGAAATATTGAAATATACCAAGTCTGAATGAAATCGTTTTATCAGTTTCATGGATATTAAAAATTTTGACCCTTTGTGGAGGAGGTACCAGAAGGAGTGGGCCGATATATTCCATCTTCACAGCAGATCTTGTATTAGTAGAAATAATGGAATGAGTAAATATGGAGAGTACAGTATGCTTACTCCAGATTTTATAATCGTTTTGGTTATTAAAAGCGTTGATCCTTTGTGTGAGAGGTACCAGGAGGAATGGTCCGATCTCCACCATCTGTATAACACATTTTGTGTTGATAGAAATCTTGAGATGTGCCAAGTCTGAATGGAATTCGGTTTATAAGCTCCCCTTTTTGGGGAGGTACCAGAAGGAATAGACCGATATATTCCATCTTCACACCAGACTTTGGGTTAATAAACATTTTCTTATGTATGTAATGTGAAGACAGTCGGACTCTTACATCACAATTTATAAGAGTTATAATTATTCACATTGTTGAACCTTTGTGGTGGAGGTACTTGATGGAGTGAACCGATATTGTCCATTTTCGCACTTAAGCTAACACTGAGGGAAATATTATGATTTGCAAAGTTGGAGCAAAATCGGATTATGCTTTGTGCAGTAAATTATTTTCTTCGAAAATTTCGACCTTTTATGGGGATGGTACCAGAAGCAATGGACAGATATTGCCCATCTCCGAATTCGATCAAAGTTTGACAATAATATTACGATGTACCACGTTTGGATCAAATCGAATACTCCCTTCGGAGCCTGGCACCAGCCAGGCAGACAGACATACGGACGAACGGACACATTACAAATTTTAAATACGAAATTTGAACAAACAAAGGGAGATGCCGTTACTGTGTCCTGGGCCCATAACAACCCACCTTTCCGCGGCATAGCTGTTTATACGGACGGTTCAAAGATGGAGTGTGGTACGGGAGCTGGTGTCTTCTGTGATACCCTTAATGTTCGTGACTCCTACAAACTTGCAAACAATTGTAGCGTATTTCAGGCGGAAATCTTTGCGGTCAAAAAGGCCATAGACATGCTGGTCACGAGGAGCATTGAGGTCAGCGGTCCGGTGACAATATATGTCGATAGTCTAGCGGCACTGAAGGCCTTAAGTTCCTTTACTATCAAGTCTAGGGTTGTTTTGAACTGCAGGGAAGCCTTGGAAAACACTGGGTTGTCCATCAAGCTCTGTTGGGTTCCTGGCCATTATAACATCCCAGGTAACGAGACTGCAGACAAATTGGCCAGACTAGGATCCGAATCAACTACAATTGAAGTAGACAACCGAGGTTAAACCACCACTGTGCCATTTCCTACAGGTCATTCACAGACATAACTCTGAGAGAATCCAACAAAAATGGCAGGACGAAATGGGATGCACCATCTCTAAAAGAATCTGGCCCACACTCTCAGAGAAGAGAACAAGGTCGCTGATGTCATTGTCAAAACCTGATTTAAAACTTGTGGTGGGTATCATCACAGGTCATTGTAAGGTGAAGGCTATGACCTCGAAATGGGACAGCGACGACATTGGCTACTGCCACTGCCCAGCACTCATTAATGTGAGACAGAGGCTAGTGGGAGAACTAGTGTCACATGATCTGTCTTCTTTTTCTAACACTGACCCTATAGTAATCCTTCAATTAGCCAGAAGATTCAAGTGGCTAAAGACGACACGGCAAACTCCTCAGCCGTAGATCACACTCTACAACTTTATCTCTTATCTTCACCTCTTCTACCAACCAATTTTTCCTCTTTTCTTAACATTCTTCTAGGATAAACACAATGAACCTATAGGTCTCCGAGTGGAGCGCTTGCCATATGGTAACCGCGCGCGTCCTTTAACCTAACCTAACCTAACCTAAGATGCCGTTATATGTTACATATGAAGACGTGGACCTACATCGGCAACTTTAAATACGAATTTTGAAACAATTCCGATAAAAAAATTGTCTGTAAAATCATCAAAATAGCGAATATCGGGGGGTACCGTTGTATGGGGGCTATGCGATATCGGGGATCTATATAGGCATCTAGGTAGACAATTCCATTGAAAAAATCAAAATACCGAATATCGGGGGGTACCGTTATATGGGGTCTAAACGATACCGGGGACCTACATTGCCCATCTTTCAACTTGGCCTACCTGTAGGCAAAAGTCTGATATGTGCTAAATTGTAGCTTCCAATCGTATTTCGTTTCGACTCAACCCTGATTACAATAGACGGTCAGACGGACGCACGGATGGACAGGGTTAAATCGTCCTAGAATTTTATCAAGAACACATATACTTTGCAGGGTCTAAAATGTTAACTTCGAGGAGTTACAAACGGTTGACTTAATTCGATTTCGGTCCATAAAGACCTTTCTTCTCTGGAGAAAAGCCAGCCAATGATCTATGCCAGGAAAAAATTTTCTAACGTATTTTCACTTAAGGGTAGCCACAAATACTCGAATATTAAATAAAGAGTCTGCTTAACGTTTTTTATATTTTTAATGATATTGCACTTCGTTATTAGTATTTATTCGAATATATAAATATTTTATTAGACATCATCCATGGATATAAATATGTAAGTCCGTACTCGTAATTAAATGACTAGAATACTCGTTTTCACATACGACATATGCAGATCTTATAAGCTACGATAATAAGCCAAAATCCAAAATTGTTCCAAAATCACACACAATTAATAACTATTATATCTCAGAAAATCCGAAGCATAAGGACCATCAAAACCACCATCCCGGGTGTACAGGGCATAATCGGTACCATCTGCATCGACAGCATTTTCCATTAGGGGAATATAGTTGCCAACACTGATACCCTGTTTCAGCAGCTGATCCGGTTTTAGTCCCAACGAACTTACTTTGCCATAGAGTTCTGAATCCAATTGCAGTGCCCGATCGAAATCTTTCCAATGGACAAATTTCACATTGTCTCGAGGTATGGCATTTTTATTCAACAATTCTCTCAAGGTATTCGAATTTACCGGTTGCACAACACTCAACTCATTTTCCGAGGTCAGCAAAGAAATCTGGGGACTCATCAGAACACGTTTGCCCACGGATTTCATAGATTGTACCTGCTGCAGCCAATTGATTAGGGAATAGAAATCATTATCCTGAAGAAAATAATTAAAATTTCAAATAAAGTCATAAATAATGTAGTTCTTCGCTTACACTCTGAGTACTCCTTCCCATGCGTGGCACCGACTTGTAAGTGCCCCATAATCCACGTCCAAATTCCTTATCCGATCTTCTACCCAAACGTGGTACATTTTTGGTAATTTTCAAAAAGAATCCAGGACTATCTTCAGCGTTGCAACTTGTACGAATACCAAGTCCCAGACACAATATCAGTGCATAGGCAATTAAAAGGATACCACGCATCCTGGAAGTATCCTGTTCGAAGGGTATTGCCTCAAATTGTTCAGGATTTTCTTCCCTTGTTGTTTTGGAAACACCTTAATTACAACTGAATTCCAATTGAATTGAATTGTATCTTTTATAACGAGTTTGTAATCGCTTTGCTGATGATAAGCGGTATGAGTGAGACACCTTATGGTTCATTGGGGTCACCATAAGGTGCCAAAATTATGCGGGTTTTTTTTAAATTACTTTGTACTTTGCTCTAAATGCCAATAAGGGGAAGATGACAAATCGAAATGGTGCTAAACAGTACGTTCGAAAAGTGGTTGAATTTACTGGACTGTTTAGCTCATGATATGCAGGAATTAATTTTTGTACCATTTAGATGGTCTGTGTCCAGGCTGCAATCTTTGAACAATGGTTTGGTTTTTGAAACGGTTTTTCAGACGGCTCGAACCGTTGTTTCGGTTGGGGTGTACAATTTAGAATAAATTTGGTTAGCGCAGCCGGTGTTGGACATACCTAGAGCAGAGAACCTTAAGCCCCGGCCAAAGACCGGCTACTAAAAAGGTGTATCAAATTTAGAAAAAATTGGTTCGCATAGCCGGTGCGCCCAGAAGAGAAAATCTCAAACCTCGATCGAAGGCCTGCTATCTAAAACAGTATCAATTTTAAGAAGACCATGGATCTTGAAACCGATGTTGGACATACCCTGAGAAGAAAATCTCAAGCCATGGCCGAGGGGCGGCTATGAACACAATCGAGTTGTTCGGGTTTAAAGTCCCATTTCTCTGGATCTAGGAAATGTTATAGCACAAATTGTAGCATTTTGCAAAGTTTGGAGTGTAAGAAAAAAATTGGCATACATTTTGTGGACTCCCAAAATGTGGCCTCTTTCGACTTTTATGTGACTTTTTAAAAATCAGGATGCAAACAATTTGATAATTTTGATATAACTCCCGAACAGTTTTAAATAACCCCATCATGTGGATAGGTATTTTATTAGCTTTCAAATGATACCCATATTGTCTATATCGGTTTAATAGGTCTGGGTCTAATCCGGGTCCGTCTCTCAAACAAACAAGTAAAAAAACAGTTAGGTTCGGCCGGGCCGAACTTTTACTACCCTACACCATTTGGAAGGAATTTGAAAAATGTCAATAAACTTCCGGAAACAAAAACTTAAATGAAAACTGTCATATGGGGCTATACGAAGAGGTGGACCTGCATACAAAAATTTTTGTCATAGGCTGTAGGACCCATTACGAACTTCAAATACGAAATTTTAAATAATTCCCGTAAATAATGTCGCAAAAATCATGAAAATATCGTATATCGGGAGGTATACGAAGGGTTGTAGTAACCATTAAGATCTACCAATACAAAATTTGAAACGATTCCGGTAAAGAATGCCGCTGATATCATGAAAATATCGAATATCGGGAGGTACCTTTATATGGGGCTATACGAAAACGAGGATGCGAAATTTTAGCCTTCTATCTCAATTCGTTCGATATATAGCGTGATTACAACAGACCGACAGATAGACGGACAGGGTCTATTATAAATATTTCGAGGAGTTACAAACGGAATGACAAAGTTAATATACCCTCCATAGAATGGTGGAGGGTATAAAAAATGCTTTCCCGATATCAGGGTACAAATACCTATTTGAAACGATCCGAACCATTTTTAAATGAAATATGGCTTTTAGTTCGGCTTAACAGTTTATTTAAACAATAATTTGGGACATGGTTCAGTTCATTTAGACAAGAAAACGGTTCGTTTCAAACCTGGTTAGATTCAGAACCGATTGCAGCTCCACTAAAATCCAAATTAACCAAATGTAGTACCATACAGTACGTTTCGTACAATTACGGCACACATTTCCGAAACCACCTTAACAGTCAAATTTCAAATTTCAGACACTGTATGTTTGCCCAGTACCAAATTGTAGGAAATATATTTAGCACTTTTTGTCCACTTGCAGTACACATTTCCAAGACCACCTCTTTATCACCAACCTACCACCAACAGAGACCCCAAAACCAACATTTCAAATTACCAGCTACTCAAAATGGAATGGCACCAAATGTAGTACCATTTAGTACAGTTCTTACACTTAGTACATGTTTCCAAAACCACCTCCTTACATCAACCCCATATCGAAAAATTGATTCTCATACCAAATTTCAATATTTTACCTCCATCCGTTAACATAATTTCAAATGGTCCCAAATTTAGTCCTTTAATACATTTGGTAAACGTATTATTACAATTTGGAAAAATCCTTTTGTTTGTCTATCCTACAAAACATCAAAGACTTTCACTCCAAGTTTCAGATTTCCAGTTCTATCCCTTTCCCAAATTAGAAAAGTTAATACTATTTAGTACTTTTCGTACTTTTTCGTAAGTATTCCAAATCCACCGCCATTTATGAACCAAATCGCACAAAAGGTGAACCTAATGTTAAATTCTAGACTTCCAACTCAATCCCTTACCCAAATAAAAAATTTAGCACTACTTAGTACATTTTAGTACGTATTTGCAAAATCACCTTAAAATCTCAACCCTACACACTAAGACCCTGATCCTATTGCCAAATGTCAGATTTCAAGCAGTATCCGCTCACGCAATACCAAATTTAGTACCTTTCGTACGCTTTCTGAGACCAGCAGATACTCCAATTTAAAACCTTTTACTTCATTTTCAACTGAATAAGCTATAATTTGGAACTATCATTGGGTAATATAAATGGGTGAGATAAAAAAACTGCAACAAAGTCAAAAACCATAATTTTTACATTTTTATACCCTACACCACATAGTGGTAAGGGTATTATGTCTTTGTGCATTTGTTTGTAACAGGCAAAAGGAAATGAGATAGGCCCATAGTTCCTTTTGATGATCTGCATAGAATCACATTCTGAGTCGATTTATGCATGTCCGTCCGTCCGTCTGTCCGTCCGTCCGTCTGTCCATGTATTTTTGTAAACAAAGTACAGTTCGCATTTATTGCCCTATCCAGATGAAATTTTGCACAAATCTGTTTGGCCCAAGGACGAACCCTATTGAAATTGGAGATAATCGGTAAAAATTTAGATATAGCTCCCATATATATCTTCATCCGATTTGCCTTTTATTGTGCACCAAACGTGTAATATCAGCCCGAATAGTATGGAATTTTGCACATACAACCAAATTAGGCCTGAAAATAAGTGTGCCAAATTTGATCGAAATCGGTTCAGATATAGCTATAGCTCCCATATATATTGTTCATCCGATTTGTTATTTTTGTCCTCCCCAGCCGTAATATGCACTCTGCAACAACAATATTTGGGAAAATATATCAAATGCAGCTCAGAAATACCTTTGCTTAATTTTATCGAGATCGGTTCAGATTTGGATATAGCTCCCATATATAACTTCGTCCGATTTACCTTTTATTGTGCACCAAACGTCTAATATTTGTCCAAATGGGATGGAATTTGGCACTTACGACCGAATTGAAAGTAGAAGCTAGTATGTCAAATTTGGTGAAGTTCGGTTCAGATATAGCTATAGCTCCCATATATACTGTTCATCCGATTTGTCATATTTGTTACCCACAGCCATAATATGCACTCCGTAACAACGATATTCAGGGAAATATATCAAATACAGCTCAGAAATATCTTTGCCAAATTTTATGGAGATCGGTTCAGATTTGGATATAGCTCCCATATATATCTTTATCCGATTTCAAATTAATTGTGGACCAAATGGACAATACAAGCCGAATTTAAAATATACAAATGCTACGGCATATTTAGTTATTTGAAGTTTAAATTATAATTATAATCATAGCGTGTATGAGTGAATTCTCTCATACAAACTTTTAATTGTTATGCGGAGCTCTACTAAATTAGCAAAGTGGTGTAGGGTATCATAAAGTCGGCCCCGCCCGACTTTAAGACCTTCTTTACTGGTTTTTAAATGTTATTGAATGAAAGCAAAAAATGTCGGAAATAGCATCAAATTTTAGAATAAGTATAGATTTGTTCGAATTGGTCACCTTTGGCACGAATTATGGCCTTCAAACGGCCAATGAAATCGTCACACGCTGCCCGAATATTGCTCTGCGATATTTTGGCCCGTTCTCGGTGAAGCACTTGCTTGAGGTGATCGATACTTTAGTATTTTTTAGTTTCCAAAATACTCCAGACACAATAGTCCAACGGATTGGTATCTGGAGATTTTGGTAGCCATTGTGCGCTGGAAATGAAGCGAGGAACATCATTTTGTAACCATTCTTGAGTGGCGCGTGCTGAGTGCGATCGCTCTGAGTCCTGTTGGAATGTCCAAGGTCTGTGGCCAAAATGTTTGCATGACCAAGGCCTCCAGAATATTTTCGCGATAATATACGGCATTTATTCTGATGCCACGGTCGATTAATACGAGCGGAGAGCGACCATCGGCTGTTATGGCGGCCAACACCATCACCATGGCCGACGCTTGAGTTCTAGTGGCCAACCAAAGTTGCAAATTTTCAGCTGACCTCTTTGGCAAGCAAACACGATCATTTCGTTTGTTTACAAACTGCTGGACAACGAATGTTTTCTCATCGGAAAAAAACCCAAAATCGGCAGTTCACCACTGTTCACGGCAAAGCGAAGCAACTCTTTAGCTCTTTTGAGTCTATTTTCTTTCTGTCGCGGTGTAAGTTCTTACACTTTTTGAAATTTCAATGGTTTTACCCCTAGTTAATTTTTCAGTATTTCAAAAATATTTGGAATATTGTGATATGTTCAGCTCAGAAGCCAGAAGCTCAGAAGGAATCGATCAAGTCGCTTCTTTACTTTTCGAACCATTTCTGCTGATGTTGCTGGTTTCTTCCGTCCACTTCCTTGGCCTCGGGCTACGCTACCAGTATCACGGTAACGAGCGATGGTACGAGACACAAAAGATTTATTCACATTTAAATGCTGGAGTGCTCTAACGATAGCCTCTTGTGATTTGCCAGCCAAATATAAAGAAATCACACTATCACGCTTGAATTCCATCACGAATAACTTTTCTTCTGGAAAATTCTCAGCAGAATGCTTTTGTTCTCTTTTAAACAATACAATGAGCTGTAATTGGAATAATTTTAACAGCTATCGGACGAGTGGCTTGGAGATGACAGCAGTCTGAAGTTGGTTGCAGTTTTTCATCCCTCCCTGTTTATGGGAGCTATATCCAAATCTTAAGCGATTTCTAATTAACTTTTCAAATTTATTATTGTAACCAAATTTCGTCACACATTCTGAATTTCATTGGATAGTACATACGTATCGTGTTTGGTGCATAACATACATGAAATCGGCCGAATTATATATATGGAAGCTATACCCAAACCTCAAGCGATTTCAATATAATTGGGCAATTTTTTTTTTTTTTTTTTTTTTTGGTACCAAATAGAGAATGTATCTGTAATCGATCAATAGATATGTACATAAAAAATCTAAATTTTTGAGAGGTACCTAAGATTCTGATGTTCCAAGTGGAGTTTCAAAAATTTATATAGCCTATGTTACCTTCAGGCGATGTTGTAGTATACTCGAAAATTTTTAGGAAAATCTGTGCAGCGGTTTTCGAGTCCATATCATCAATAGTTCTGCCACGCCAATTTTAACATTTTTTGTACTTGTTTATTTTAGTTCAGAAATGTTAATGTTGAATGGTACACAGATTAGAGTTGTCCGAAACTAAGAGCTCTTGTTCAATTTTCAGAATTATATTTCAAAATAACTTGCAGTTTCTTAAAATTGTAGGTTCTTATTGGGCAGAAAATCTCTTTTTGAACTTCCTTCAAAAGATCTTTAGCTTGTGTAATTGTCCTCATGCAAAAAGTTTCCAGTTTCATACCGATTTTCCAGTTACATAGAGCATAATCATAATAGAAGTGAAACCTCCATAAATGTTACTGACAGGACTCAGTTTTTCTTCTATGAACTTGTATGATATAACAGCTTGAATGAGATCCTTTCTTCTAAAAACACATTTTTCATTCTGACACCTTTCATTGTCTGTTAAAGGAAACGATTTGAGAAAGTACCTACATTAGGGGAATTGTCAGTTTTTTCATGATTTTCTTTGAAAGCATCGACCATAAAGCCATATTACGCTTTTCTAAAATTAACTGCAGATATCGAAAAAAAAAAACTCAAAAAAAATGTGAGCTAAATCCACTTTTTACATTTATTACACAATGAAAGCATTTCTCTTCCTCTCTTTATCACAAAATTAACATTACATAATATTGTAGCGCAGAAATTCTGGAGCATACACTCCCTGATCATTCTCTCCTTGGGTATAAAGGACAAAATCCGTACCATCTGAATCCATCATATTTTTTAGTACTGGTGTAAAGTTTTCTTTCGACAAATTATCTTTTAAATGTTGATCTGGCGTACGACCAATGGAACTGATTTTACCAAATAGCTCTGGGTCCATTTGTAGGGCCCGATCGAAATCTTTCCAATGAATAAATTTGACATTTTCTCTGGCAATGGTATGTGAGTCAATGAGTTCCTTGAGAGTTGCGGCATTGACTGGTTGCAGCAAAGATAAATCTTGGTCGACAAACCTACTGGCAGGGCTGTAGTGTAGACGTTTTTCCATGTGCACGGTGAAGGGAGTGTCTAGCCAATTGTTAAGGGAATCACTTTTCGGCAGCTGAAAATAATGCCAAAAATAAAAAAACATACTTCTCGTGGGGTTTATAACATTACCTCTTCGACACTCCTTCCAATGCGGGGTATGATTTTGTAATTCCTAAAGAATCTCCTTGTAAACGGTTTATCAGAACGCCTGCCCAAACGTGGAACATTTTTGGCAATTTTCACAAAAAATCCAGGACTGTCATCAGCCTTACACAAGCTTTGTGGTTCGAGGCCAAGAAAAAATATCAAGGTATAGGAGATCAGGAAAAAATAATTCATTTTTAATCTAATTCGTTTCCTATTAGAACGTAACTATTGAGAAATTAGAAAAAGCTTTTAACTACCACTAATTTTTGAACGGAACTGAATTCTAATCCAATTGATTGTATCTTTTATACAATTTTTCTAAACCCAAAAAAAAAACCGAGGCAATGTCAATGACAAAAACGTGGCTCACAAATTTGGGACATACTAATGCGGGTACCCCTCCTTCTGTTTGTTAAATGGATTGGTTATCTGGCATTATTATCTAGGAAGCATTCACGTTTCCAGTCAAATAGGAAGTTTGCAACATTCAATATTTGGTACATATTTTAAGAACGTGTGTATTTAGAATATGAGTGCGTATAGTTTTGAGATTTTGATTAGAAGAACTTTAAACAGACGCACCGATATGAGTACTTTAATAGATTACAGCAAAGCGGGTTTAGACCTGTTGTCTCTTTGGACGAAATACATTACCGGACATGAGTCATGATTTGTCCTTAAACAAGTTTATTGGTCCTTTGTGAAGTAAAAAAGCATCTAAGTTCGGGAGGGCCGAACTTTTAATACCTTCCACCATTTTTAACGAACTTGAAAAATGTCTCAAAAAATTCTTCGAAAATAAACCTCAACAGAAAACCTTTATATGGGGGCTATACCAAGACATGGTCCTGCATATACAATTTTCTGTCATAGGCTGTAGTACCCATTACGAACTTTAAACACGAAATTCTAAATAATTCCGGTAAAAAATGTCTCTAATATCGTTAAACTGGAAATGATTCCGCTAACATCATCAAAATGCTAAATGAAGGGAGGTGCCGTTATATGTGGGCTATATGAAGATATGGACCTACATATATAGACAATTTTTTGTCATAGTCTGCAGTACCCATTACAAACTTTAAATACGAAACAACAATTCCGAGAAAAAATGTCGCTAAAATCATAAACATATCATATATCGAGGAGGACCTTTGTATGAGTGCTACTCGATGTCGTGGACAATTATAGACAATGCTCTTCCAAGGAGTAAAGTACCCACAAAGAACTCCTTGTGTAGAATTTTAGACGATTCCATTGAAAAATGTGACTGAAATCATCAAAATGGGGGGGTACCGCTATATGAATGATATACGATATCGTGGATCGATATAACCCATCTTCGGACTTGCAGACAAAAGACTAATCAGTGCAAAATTTTAGCTTCCTATCTTAATTCGTTTTGACTCGATCGTGATTACAACAGGCGAACATACGGACGGATAGGGCTAAATCATCTTAGACTTTTACGCTGATCAAGAAAATATATTTATATCCTTTTTTAGGTCTAAAATTATTATTTCGATGAGATACAAGCGGAATGACGAACTTAATATACCCGCCATGCTATGTTTAAACAAGTAAAAAAACATTAATTTCGGCCGGGCCAAACTTTTAATACCCTCCACCTTAGGGTAAAAGAAACATTAGAAGAAATGTGGCAAAAACCATTAAAATGCCGAATATCGGGAGGTACCGTTATATGGGGGCTACACCAAAACGTGGACCTATAATTACAATGTTTCGCTACACAAACTAGGACCCATTAGGACCCACAAATACCAATTTTTAGACAAATCAGTGAAAAAATGTGGCAAAAACCATCAAAATACCGAATATCGGGAGGTACCGTTATGTGGGGGCTATACCAAAACGTAGACCTATAATTACAATGTTTCGCTACACGAACTAGGACCCATTATGACCCACAAATACCAATTTTTAGACAAATCCGTGAAAAAATGTGGCAAAAAAAAACTAAAATACCGAATATCGGGAGGTACCTTTATATGGGGGCTATACCACAACGTGGACCTATACATGCAATGTTTTGCCACACGCTCAGGGGCCCATTATGACCTACAAATACCAATTTCCACACAAATCCGTGAAAAAATGTGGCATAAATCATCAAAATACCGAATATCGGGAGGTACCGTTATATGCGGACTATACCAGAACGTAGACCGATATATCTCATTTTCAATACCAACCATGCTAGATACAATGCAAATACCTCTGCTAAATTTTGGCGCTCTACGTCAAATAATGTGGGCTGTATCGTGATTTCAACAGACAGACAGACGGACAGACAGACAGACAGACGGACAGACAGACAGGCGGACATCGTTAAATCGACTTAGAATTTTATGCTGATTATGAATATATATACTTTATGGTTTCTAAGACGAATATTTAAGGATGTTACAAACGGAATGACAAAGTTAATATACCCTCCTTTCCAAGGTGGAGGGTATAAAAACGGTTTTAGAAAATAAATTTAAGGACATATGTGATGATTTGACTTAATTTGATTTGTCTCATTCAGAAATCCAAGTTTAGTGATCCTTGAAAAATGTTGTCCTTAAAAATACACAATTGTTTGTCCCTAAAAAATTATCTATCAAAGTCCATAATTTTTGATCCTTGAACAACAATTTTTCAAAAATTAAAAAAAAAACAAATATTATTGTACTGTGAATATTATACTTTTAAAAAGGTCACAAATATTGGTCCTTGACAAATATTATTTTAAAAATGGAAAAAAATTAAGAACCATTAATGGTTCACAATTATTTGTGATCCTTTAAAACGTATTTTTAAAAAAAATCGATGATTTTTTGTGATCCTTAAAAAAATATTCTTAAAAAAATCGACGATTGTTTCTGGTCCTTGAAAAAATGTTCTTAAAAAAATCCACGATTTTTTCAGGAACTTAAAAATTTACAATGCGCAACAGCAACGTTCAACAGTGACTCAAGCGGTCTTTTTGGATTTTTTCAAAATTTGTTAAAAATTCCATTAAATTGGGGTTGTTGAAAGTCCAAAATTATTTTTCATAAAATTCCACTATGGATTCTAGAATACAAAAAAAGATGTGAATATTACCTTGTGCAAAAATCTCCAACAGGCATCATTTTAGAAGGGTGGTCATAAATTGCGAAATTAATTATACCCTCAGCCATATGGTAAGAGAGGATATATATCATTTAATACGGCCAAAATCTTGGTCTCTTTGGACCAAATCCGTTTCATAACATTTGGAGTCGATCTAGAGATATCCGTCCGTCCGTCTGTCTCTCTGGCAGGATGGTGAGCACGATAACTCTCGAAGGGAGTATCTGATTTGGTCGAAACTTAGTACATCGTAATAGTATGGTCAATGTTAGATCCAGTTTGCAGATAGGTAAAATCGGGCTACTCCTTCTGGACCTCCCCCACAAAAAGGCAACATTATCAAAGAAAATTATTTATCTCATAGAAAGAGAAAGGATCATTCCATTGTGTGCAAACTTTGCACTCCTCAAAATTTTTGCAAGTTCTAGATCAAGTTCTAAAATGGACAATATCGGCCTACTCCATCAAGTACATCCCCCCACAAAGGGTCAAAATTTCGTATAATTATAACTCTTATAAAACGGGAAATAAGAGTCAAATTGTCTTCAAATTTTATACATCCCAATATTTTTATTAACAACAGGTCTGGTGTAAAGATGGGATATATCGGTATACTTCTTCTGGTACCTCCCCCACAACGGGTCAATATTGTTAATAGCCATGAAGCTAGTAAAACGCGAAACGAGCCTCCGATTCTTTTCAAATTTCACACATCCCAATACTTTTACTTAAGCAAGAAATAGTGTGGAGATGGTAGATATCTGACCAATCCTTCTGATACCTCCCCAACATATAGTCAAACTTTGAAATAATTATAAATTTTATATTCTTGAAATAACTATGAAGCTCATAAAACGCAAAAGGAGAATCCGATTAATTTCAAAGCCGGTACATCCGAATACTTCTATCAACACAAGATCTGTGGTGAAGATGGACAAAATCGGACTACTCCTAATGGTACATCCCCCAAAACGGGTCAAAATTTGATGTAAATTTATCTCTCATAAAACGCGAAATTTTCAAAAAAGTATCAAATATCTCATATAATGCGAAAGAGGTACACCATATAAAATTCATTACTGATACGTTTTAATATTTTTATCAGTCTTATGTCAAATACGAAATTGAAAATATTAGCCCATTCCTTCGGAATCCCTCCTATGAAGGGTCGACAGTTTGAATAAGATAGTGAGATATATTTTTAAATAACAGAGGGTATGCAGCTATCGGCAATTTCGACTGATTTCATTTGACAGTGAAACTAAACACGAAAAGTGCGTGAGATATTTAAAGTATTGTTGCCAAAAATATAATATACCATCCTTTATTAATATCATCAACCTTACGAGTATTTATCATTTAATGCGGCCAAAATGATTTCCATTTTAAACCCCATGTTTCTTTTGGGCGGAAAAACCCACAATTATTGGTAAAAAACAATAAAAAAATTCTTTAAAAATACTCGCTTATTTCTGGTCCCAGCAAAAATATTCTTCAAAAAAATCCACAAATGTAGTCTCTAGAAAATTTAAAAAAAAAATCACTTTTATGTGTCCCTGGACAATTATAGGATTTTTTTAAGAATACTTGAAAATATTCAAAAAAAAACTTCCTCGAAATTAAAATATTTATTTATGCTTTGCCAAATGTAAATATAATTAGTTGAGCGACATCTGTCAATAGCAAAATTAACTAGCATCTTTATTTCTATTTTAAACGATTAAGATACTAATTATTGCACCTGGCAATACCGTGATAATATGGTTGATGTCTATGGTCTTTCTAGCACACGGTCTTATCGACTCGCTTACAGCAAAGTCACACATCTACAGACTTTGTGTCACGGCATTGCCAACTCAAAAAATTTATTCTTCGAATTCGAAATAACCGGTACTGTGTCACAACATTTGTCACAAAACTTCAAAATTTTAAACAAAATAAAAATGATTAAATCTCAAAATGTTCGTTCAACATTCAATTATTGCCGTTTGTTACGTTATATGTCAAGCAATTTGCCGTAAGTAAATTTGTAAACATCTCTTGCATGTGGAGTAACATTATGCCAATCGACTTGTAGTCACGACCCTTCAGGCCTTTTGGAAAAGGGACGTGCCGAAGAAAACATTTATTTTCGAAGGAAGGTAACGAATGAATTGAATTCTATTTTTTAAAACCTAATCGATTTTTACTGTTCGGCAGGAGCACGAAGAACTG